AGTGCGCACCTACCTTCAGCGTTTGAATCCAGGACCTTCTGGTTACAAGGCTAGCGAGCTCATAGACCCTTAAGCCATTGGGACCCAATCCAATGGCCAGTGCATGAATTCCAACTTCTGCCGATTCACGATATAGCACGACTGCTAGCCAATGTCTTCAGAGAGTACTTGTCTATACACCCGACCTGCTACACCCTTAATTGATGTCGACAGGTTTTCTCTACTGATAATTATTTTACTTTTAAAAATTATGGCGTGTATATAATAGCATTCTCTATTCTTGATGATATGGGCTTTCTCAAAGCAAAAGAAATCGTCAAGCAAATCTTTACTTTATATCAGTTAACAGTGACTTCAGTTTAATAGTACCTCATGTTTACAGCTTTCAGCTTGCTAAGTCCTATTCTACTGGAATTTCTTCCAAGTCACTCTTTAATTTCATACATTTATTCCCCTTAATGAATTTGAACAAACCAACAACTACAGTTTTAGCAGAATAAAATGGTACTATCTTTTATTTCGTTTCCTTCTCATCAGCTGCTTACAGGGGAAAGACATTTTTAAATGTATCTACAAAAACAATTTTAAAATACTTGCACAGAGTTCATTTTTAAACAAAAATCAATCAATATATGCATACAGTAATATATATATATATATAATATTAAACACTATTCTGAACAAGAATGATCGTACACAATGGAAACTTCCGGCATTACGTATTCAGATGAAAGAGAGATGAAAATATCCAGTTACCAGAGCAAACAAAGACTGATAACTGCTTCTTTCTGAACACACAAATCAGGTTCCAGGCGCTTGATGGATATGCCTTCAGCAAACTTGAGGAGAATTCAGCTCTTTTGCCTATTGATAATCTTGAACGATTTTGCAACGTTTTACATCATGACCTGTGTCAAGAAGATGCCTGGCGATGACACTGTTTAAATCATTTGTTCCCTTTAGACATAAGCTTTTTGGTACATGTTCAGAAAATCGTAGATATACCATTCTTTATATTCTTCCAATGTAACTGCTCCCACAGATACATGTAAATTTGTATATACAGTTGGAGTTAACATGAGAAGGATATCTGTCAAATTTGATTGTACCAAAGAGCAAGTTGTTCGATAGACGGGGACGAGTTTAGCTGCAGGATAGGCTCTGGCTAGTGACGTACTGAGTCTTCTGTTGACCATTGCTGCAATGTTTTCACCTTTATAATCAAGTTGAATGTAGATTGTCTTTTTCTTCACTGTGATTTGTTTTACATTTGAGAATTCAGATCTTCCATACTTTTGATGAACCATTGAGAGTAACCATTGCTCTTCAACATCTTTTCAAGAGGCACAAATTCTTCGTCTAGTTACTCTGGAGAGCATAATCACCTCGCTCTATAGTTCAGAGTCTTGACTAGTCCGCGTTTGAAGCTATTTTTGGATAAAAGTATTGTCCTTTCCATGTGGACTTTCGATAAATTGACTTTTGAAGACTACTGTTTTCTAGGCGTTCCATGGCGATGTTGAGGAAGTGGAACTTCCCGTCACTTTCATGTTTCATAGTGAACTCAGTATTGGCGTGTGCATCATTGAATAATCTTAGTAGGTGTGAAGCATGACTTTCATTTTTGCAAACTGTGAATGTGTCATCAACGTATCGACAGTAGGAAGTTAATTATCAAATACAGTATTTAGAACCATCAAGAACTCGTTTTACTTAAGCTATACTGAAAATACTTATTAACTGAGACAAATTTTCCATTATGGGTAAATTTTATTTTGATAGAGTCTCACAGTGTTATACAGTAATATTTACTGATGACGTTTCGAGCACAATTTATTGCTCATAATCATATCATATCACCTTGATATGATTATGAGCAATAAATTGTGCTCGAAACGTCATCAGTAAATATTACTGTATAACACTGTGAGACTCTATCAAAATAAAATTTACCCATAATGGAATTACACTCTACCACAGTGCCCAAGTTTTATTCTTATATCAATGAGACAAATTTTGCTCACAAATAGTCTTGCAGTGCTCATGTCTAATGCCTTAAAACGTTAAATCTGTTATATGTTTAATTGTATTTGTCGTTACACTTGATGCTATAGAGAACTACCGACGTGCTGCACGAAAAACTTGTAGCGGTAAATAATTCCCCAAAATTATTGGCCACAGCATTCATCACTAAACATTGGGTGCTGACCCTCACTGTTTAAGTCAACTTGTTTAGCTGAAGGCTTCCGGTCAAGCATCCACGCCATTTGACACGCTGTCGTGTCACGTTCGTTCGTTCGTTCGTGCACGATCCCCAGCTAGCTAAGCAATCATCTCGCACTCCTATTTGGTCCCGAAATATATCTCATAATTTGAACTATCATTTTTTGTGTTTTGTTTTGCCTTTGGTCTACGCGGAACGAATACTATAGAAGTTGTGTGTATTAGATCTTGCGTTAGTATACTTCGTACTATTCGTGAACGTCGATATCCTCAGCCTCTGAAACCTAAATAAGGAATTAGCCTTTGTTGAGTACCACTTAACAAAAGGCTTTACCACTTTCATTCTTAATATCGGAAGGACACACTGAAGCGCTTATGTCTTATGAAGTATGAGAGGGAAACATGTAATGAACATCTTCCAGAAAAATGGACATCCAAAAAAAATCCACCAATTTATGTTCATCATCAATCCTACAGAGCAACACACAAAATCATCCTCTAAAACGACAAAAAGAGTCGTCCTGTACATAGAAAATATTTCCGAAACCGCTATTGAAAGTACTGAGACCTTTTGTAATGTGTGTCGCTCAAAAACTAACATAGTCTCTTTGCTCCATGCTGTTATGTAAACCAAAAAACTAACACAATATGAATACAAAGCCAATGTCATCTAAAAAATCGATTACATCAATACAGAAACAAAACTGTATCGATCAAGACAGACATCACTTTATCTTTGCATATATGAATACATACTCACAGTCAGAAGACACAACATGTATTTATTCATGTCAGTCTGCCTAAACAACTACGAGGATAAATATAGAAACTTCAGACACAGAAGGTACACAAAATACAGGGGAATTCCTAGAAGCCTGGTAATCAGATTAACTCGAAATAAATAGACATACTGATATAGATGAAATTCCTCAATTAACAAAGAGTGAGTTACAAGATCAAGAGATCAAATATCGATCAGCGATAGAAACAATACTAGTACATATGAATACAGTCATAAGAAAATCTCCGGGGACAACCAATCACAGTCAAGGTCAACAAGGAAAGATGGATATTCCTTCATCCATGGAGAAATCCAAAAGCTCACTTCACATTGAACAGGCAAAGAAAGCTTCAAGATCAAGCCATCTAGCTTAGAGAATACAACAACAAAATATCCACTTGTGTTAATAATCTTCACCACTATTCCAAAATGCTTGATTATCCCCCTTTTCAGGTGCTTATGAAAAGCATTCTCTGTGGTTCAGAAATACTCCTCTATCATTTACGGCGAAATATATCTATTTTCGGTTTATTAAACATCATCTACACTGGAATATGATAAAATTTAGGGTGAAATAATGAAGCGATTCGGTAGTACTTTGTTATTTGCCTTTGCCAATTTTCATAGCCAGTGTTTATTTAAAAGGCTATGACCACCTAGAGAAAACGTTTAGTTGATGATATTTTTTAAAATTTTATTCCATTTGTTTTATTTTCTTTTCCGTTCCCAATGGAATATAGGGCTATGTTAGATAGTTGGAGGCAACCGGCAGGAAGCCTTCGACCTAGGTTTCGTCCTAGTTGGCACTCGCCAGTCAGCAAGGCGTATCTGCAACCTTGAAGGAACTCATGTCCCCTCTGAGATTCGAACCCGCGTCACCCAGTGAGCGCTGCAGTCAGAGACGTTAACACTGAGCTATTCAGGCTTGCGATTGACCTCCTATAGGACTGTAGTGAGTATTTGGATTGGACACTAGTAACTAATGTGACGTGTATGGTCCTCTCTTTGGTGCAGACTGAATTCTGTCAGTCAGGTTTTGCAATGTGGTCACCATTCTAGGTAGCTCGCCATCACGGTGCACACTGATTTGATGATATTAGATAGTTGGAGACAATTGGCAGGAAGCCTTCGACCTAGGTTTCGTGCTAGTTGGCACTCGTCAGCAAGGTGTATCTGCAACCTTGAAGGAATATAGAGCTTCAAGCTCTGAAACTTTGAAGTTTCAGTAGCAGTGGTTTTTCTTTTTACAGCATGGGGTTGCAGTCTCACGCTCAACCTTTCCTCTTTATCTGGCTCACTACAAACTGAGCAAAGTGAAGAAATGCGTATGTCGGGCATCGAAGCCTGGAACATTTGTGTGGTTGAACAATGTTCTACCAGTAAACTACTGACTCCAGTGGACGATATGATGCTTAAAAAATTGGTAAAAGACGAATTTGCCTATTATTATTTGGTACATTCCTATTTTTTTCCTACAAGGTATGAGATATCATGCAACTCATCAGTTTCAACTATTGTCCAGTATAAATTGGCAATAAAGACAATTACAGGAAACCAATGAAATTGTTCTTGTTCTCACTTGCCTTTCGAAATCAACACTGGTATTTATACGTATATATAATCTAACTTCTTATCTCTTGAAAGCAATTCGAGTTTGCCCACGAATTGATATCAGTTAGAGAAGCATTGAAAACCAGCCATAGGGAATATTGCACATCTGTTTCATCCTAGTTTGGGAATCATCAGTATGACGTATCCACCACCAAGGTTAGAACCCAAGACCTTCTGGTTACAAGGAAAGCTGGTTCGTATACCATTCACAGCCACAGTGACCCGATGGAGAATAGCCAGTCCATGAATTCATGATTTTAGTGTGATGACCATCCATCCTCACATCCCGACTGGATGCATCTCACTGGTCACAACTTCAAAGATGACAAATCAACTCTTGAGAAAGCGATTCATCAACAATTATTTGTAATATAAAACAAAAACTCAATAATGTACAACTCTTATAACAAGTTAAATAGTTCAATTTAAAACTATTGACTCAGTTGTTAACATTGCACAGTGTTGATATTCTTTTTTTTGTAGTTTAGTTTTTTTCTTAAAAGTGTAAGATAACACCTCATTTAAATGAAAGATAGAACAAGAATGAAATGCCTTGTTTCCTTTACTCCATCGTCTTCTCTCTTGAATACAGTAATAATTCAACTATTATGTTTATGATGAAAATAACTCATAATTGTTGGTAAAACGCAAATAGTTGTTAGTGGACAAATAGTACCTTGTATAAATGAATTGAACAATTGTATTGCATTAATACTATTGCTTGAATCTTGATTGAATATGGATTTAGCTAAGAGATTAATAGTGCTGCCGCATAATGATTCCATAAATTTTGTAGTAATCAATACAAACAGTGAACTGGATAAAACAATTTGTGTAGAATTTGAACCTAATACTAATTGTTTTGAATTTGTTGGTGGTTTAAGGTGTAAAGCTAATGATAAGCCTAGAAAAAGAGAAGAAGACAAAAAAAGCAAAGAAAGTAAAATCACGTTTATAAATAAACAAAGATTTACTGAACTAGACAATTGAAAGGCAGTAATACTGACAACTAATACAATTAAAGAACTAACAAAGGATGACTTAAATAGCGGGTTTATATTCCACTTATCGAAGCTAAGCTCGTTCCCATCTATTGAACAACTTGCTCTCTGGTGCAGTCAAATCCGACAGATATCCTTCTCATGTTAACTCCAACTATATATACAAATTAACATGTATCTGTAGGAGCAGTAACATTGGAAGGACAGAAAGAAGGGCATATCTACGATTTTCTGAACATGTACCAAATCTTACGTCTAAAGGGAACAAATGCTTTAAACAGTGCCATCGCCAGGCATCTCCTCGACATGGGTCATGAGGTGGACGTCACAAAACCGTCCAAAATTATCAATAAGCAAAAGAGCTCAATTCTCCTTAATTTTGCTGAAGCCATTTCCATCAAGCGCCTAAACCCTGATTTGTGCGTTCAGATAGAATCGGTTATCAGTCTTTCTTTGCCCTGGTAACTGGATATTTCTCATCCGAATGCGAGATACTGAAAAGATTTCATTTTGTATGATTATTATTGTTCGGAATTGTGTTTAATATTATATATATATATATATATATATATATATATTATTAGTGTATGAGTATATTGATCGATTGATTTTCGTTTAAAATGAACTCTGTGCAAGTATGTTAAATTGATTTTATAGATACATTTAATAATGTTTTTGCCCTGTAAGCAGCTGACGAGAAGGCGACGAAATAAAAGCTGATACCATTTTATTCTGCTAAAACTGTAGTTGTTGCTTTGTTCAAATTCATTAAAGGGAATAAATGTATGAAACAAAGATTTACTGAACTAGACAATTGAAAGGCAGTAATGCTGACAACTAATACAATTAAATAACTAACATAGGATGACTTAAATACAACACTAATATTCCACTTTTCGAAGACAAAGATGATTATCAATATTGTTGTTATCATTGTTCAGCTTCAGTGGAACATCTCCATTTAGTCGTCTCGTCTCCAGTCCACTTCAGCTAGCCTTACACGATTGCCCACAAGCTTTCATTTCCTTCTCACACGATATCCTCAGAGTCACTCTCAGACCAACGTCCAGATCGTCGTTTGCCATTCGGGTTACACTCGAGCAATGGCCTGGAGCGCAATGTCACCCAGTAACTTCTTTAGAGTGTGTCCGATTCATCAATTAGTCCCTTTGATAAATTTGAATAAGGCATTTAGAAGACAAATTTAGCGAGATGATATCGTCATTTCATAGTTTCTTTACAACCGCTTTACAACTAACATGGTTAACAATAATAAAATAAATGGCATGACAATTACTCAGTTAAATAAAAAACAGCAGTACATACTAATGACCAATCATATTTAAATAGGTCATGTAGTCCATGGTAGGCAAAGATTGAAGTCTATTGTTTTTTGTACACACAGTTTAGGCTGTATGTGATTAATCCAAATTGCTTCCATCACCTTCAGTAACCTTGATTTAGAGTTATGTGAAATAATTGTGAAACAGTCACTGATTAATATTGATTTTGTGACCTGACATTAATAAGTGTTTTGCAATGGATGATGCTGGATTTCTATTCAGATTACTCTCATTGGAATTTTCTATATGATTTAGTAGCCATTTTGGAACATGTTCTTTTCGACGACATTGAAACATTCTGTTGGTTCTACCTATGTAAGTGTCACCGCAGCTGCAGGTGAACTTGTAGATACAGTTTAAAGGAAGAGTCCACAGAATTTCGTCCTTTAATCGTAGGTACAGGGATTGAAAATGTTCGGCAAGTGAGAAAAAGAGATGCGGAGTAGAATATGCGTTTGATGGCTGACCGAAGTCTTTGAGCTAGCTGCCAACTGCATAATCTGGTCACCCTTGAATGGTAGGTTAATAAAGATAGCTTCCTTTGGTACAGAAGTAGTCTTTCTTTACTGTGACAAGTGATAATTCTATTGTTGTTTATGTTGAGTAAGCCCAGAAGACTTCTAAACTGACTTCAGGGTGATAAGGGTATGGCTTGCCTTTTTGATTTTGGCTTTTACATCTTCAACCGTGCCGACTGTCTGCAGTTGACCTGATACAGCCTAGATAAGGGATGGAAGTGACTTCTTTTGAATTTCTCACAGTCATATTGATTGGTACTTGTTGCTGTTGTTGGTTTGTCATTGAAATAGCTGTCCAGTACTCCCTAATTTTCAATGGTGCCTTTAACTAATATCAATCCCCCGTCAAACTTGAAATATATCGAATCCCTACAAATTAACTGTTGAAAATCTTAAAATATATATTTTTTCAAAAAAGAAACAGTAATTTCATTTACAAGAAAGAATTCCACCAACTTTTGATGATATATTTTAATACTCACCTGCAGCTGCCCCAGCTATTTTAGAAAATGAATTCATTAGGCTAGTTGATAAATGAATCCATTCTGGTCGTATACATGCTGATCGAGCTAATGTTACACTCCAATTAGGATCCATTTTTAAACCATATTGTATAAATAAACTTAAAATGTAAGCGAATGTAAATGAACCTAAACCAAGCCATAATAGTCCATTTGGATGAGTTAATAGATATGCAGCTTTCTTATGTAACCAATCTGTATTCTCATCAGTTGATGTATAGACAGAATTATCAGTAGAATGAAATAATAAACCAATTACAACACCTATAAATTATAACAAAGACCAATAAGATTAACTAACATTTGTGATAATCTGAATTAACATAGAGTTTACATCATGTTTAGCAGACATTGACTACTTTAATATATTTAAACAAACTTTTGTGTAGAATAAGAATATTCATTTATAATTTTTTTTTAATGTATGAATTTATCTGATTCATTAAATTTATCATTATAACCGCGGTTAGAATTTATTTTAAATAATTTGTTCAGTGTTCAATGTCAACAAAATAACAAGGCCTGTAGATATAATCATCGATATTTTTCCCCATTCTAACTGATCAAAAATGCCTATTGAAATTCTCAAAAGAATGGTTGATGAACAAAGAATACTCTTCTCGATAACCTGCTCCTCATCAGGTTCTACAGTTATATAGTGAATGAATGAATTAGTGTTATGAACAACATTAATGTTGTTTAAATAACATCAAATCAATAATATCAATAGATTACAGTTCAATAGCATCAACGTAACAATACATTGAATATCAGAAAGGCAAATTAGGAAAGATAATAATACAAATACATGAATTTATAGTCTTCATTGAAGGCCGGCCTACTCAGTAGTAGTGGCTGGCTGGAGTGGCTTCTTCTGCGCACAAAGCACTGGTTGTTTCACGCAAATCTCCATAGCGTCTGCTGTTTGGAGCATGCGGTACCACAATGTTTTTAGAAATTTATTCGGCACCCCGTAGATGATAGAGAAGGATTCATCCATGCTGGCTTTGTAGCCGGTTTCGATCAGGTGGTCTAATATTGAACTGTTGATGGTTTTTACTACATCTTTACTTAGCCATACTGATAGGTGCTCTCGAGCACAACATCAAGTTCCTAGAGCAACGGTCGATATAACTCGCTCCACCTCAGACACATTTGAATTGGTAGATACAACTGAAAGTGGCTAGTCTAGTCTAGGTCCTTCATCTTTCAATAGAGGAATCACCATCGATCGTGTAGAAGATAAGACTTGTAGTTTGTCAGCAATAAAAGTTATTTGAACTAATTTTCCTAACTTTTTCGTAGTTATTTCACTGGGCATATCGCTTTTGAATTGCAGTCGTATGTATAAGGGCATCTTGTTTACGAATAGTGAATAGTCATATGTTTCCTGATGAACTTGTCTGGATAGCTATTTTCAGTCAAGGTATCATTTACAATGCTTAGCTCATCTCTAGTTACTTCCTCTGAGCATATGGCTCTAACCCTGTGGGTGAGGAGGGTCCTGACTAAATTTCTTTTGTACTTGAGAGGAACGAAGCTGTGAAAATGTATATATTGTCCTGTCCACGTACTTTTCCTATGCAAATTTCTTTTTATACTACCATCTGGCTTTCTTGTAAGGAGGAGATCCAAGAAGGCAATTCTGTTTTAGGATTCCTCTTCGTACGTGATTTTCAAAGCAAAATGTACTTCAGTGAATTCACTTATTATTGTGTTCCTATCCGAATCATTATCATTCGTCAGATAAAAAATTATCTGAAATCTTCGGCGAATCAATCCTTCTTCAAGACTTCAATTTTCATTATTCAATATGGCGTCAAAAACATTTTTGGAGAACCCATCATATAATGAATTATACTCTGTGAGAATGGTCTGGTTATGTTTAAATGCTCACCAGACAGTAAACCTTCTTAACATGATCAGGTTTCATCGATTACTAGAGTAATATGATCAGTAAATTATGTAAAATGACTATATGACAAAGTTCATTCGAACGCGAAGTCAGGTCATTACTTCTTATGTCGAACAGTACTCATAAGTAGGATGTATGTTTACTGTCACATTTCTTGGAATAATAATATATTTATTTAAATTACTCTGATTCTGTGATTAATAAACTTAGAGGAAAATTTGTATGAGAAAGAAACGTAACAACAAACATAGAAACCTATGATATAATAATTTCCCATACATTGGATATTAATCATACAGAAAATTTATTTCACCTAGGTGGGATCTTTTCAAAAATCATTTCGGTTACTATAGCTTTTTTATGACCTTCCTTTTTGTGGCAAAGTTAAACTTTAGGCACCAGAAGTTCCAATGGAGTGTGACTGCCATAATGTCATTGAAGCGCTCAGTGAACATGTTATTGAAACCAGGCTAATAATGTTATGATCATGAATAAAATATGCTTATTGAAGTGTTATGTTATTAAATGCGATATCTGGTAGGTAAGTAGGTAAGATTACGTTTGGGAAAGATTAAGATAGGGTTTATACTAAGAACAGATTAGAGTTAGGTTAACCTAACAACGTAGACCGAGAAGTAATTTGGAAACTACTTCAACACTACGGTGTGCAGTGCCCAAATATGTATCAACCTCATTCAACAGCCGGCTATTTGACAATGCCAGGTGTCAGGTGATCCACAACGGAAAACTCAGTGAGGCATTCGAAGAGGAAACAGGAGTAAGACAAGTTGGTTGCCTATTATCACCGATGATATTCTTACTTATGGTGAACTGGATTATGCGTCAGACCGTGCATGGCAGCGAGGAGACAGTAGTACGCTGGACTACAGATAAGAAGACTGCAGAAGATCTGGATTTCGCAGATGATATATGTCTAATATCACACAAACTTGAAGACCTACAGGCGAAAAGTAACATACTGGGTGAAGAGGTAGGCTGGCAGGGACGACAGGACTCCAGATGAACATGTAGAAGGTGGAGGCGCAGGTGATCAGGATAACCAACAAACAGTAACAACAACAACCAGCACTAGTCAACATCAATGGGAGAGATTTGACAGAGGTTACTTACGTCAATTATATGAGAAGCATCATTTCAACTACAGACGGAACGGACGAAGATGTCAAAGTCAGAATCGGAAAGGCAAGATACGCCTTCATCAACCTGAAACCAATTTGGAAATCTTCCGCACTCAGCATAAGCAACAAGAAGCGAATTTTCAACACCAATGTCGATTCGGTTCTTTTATACAGGTCAGAAACTTGGCGGGAGTGTCACGAAAAGGATTTCTAACAGGTTGCAGACTTCCATCAACAGCTGCCTTCGCTGGCTCCATACTGAAGATTAAATGTCCAGAAGGAATAAGCAACAAGAAACTATGGGAACAAACTAATCAAGAACCAATCGCTCAACAAATATGTAGGAGAAAGTGGAGATGGATTGCGCATACATTGAGCAGACCGCCGAATGACATTGCACACCAGGCCCTCGAGTGAAATCCTACTGGGAAGCGACGAGTGGATCGTCGGTGCGGGGGTGACATGGAGGAGATCGTTTGAGGAGGAGATGAGATAGTTTGGTCAGTTGTGGACCCATCTGAAGAGGATGGCAGAAAACAGAACAAAGCGGGGATGTGTTGTTGAAGCCCTCGCTATGTTCCATACGGAACGCAAGGGAATAATAATATAATAAACAAGGTCGATAATAAGGTTCGTTCGAGTTAGATAAGGGTTAGTTTGGGGATATTTTCACGTTAGGGTTAGGTTAAGGAAAGATAAGGATTATTGTTAGGGCTGGAAAACCTAGATAATTACATGCATAGAATGCGGTTAAATTACTCTGTTGATACTCCAATCCAAACCTGAGAGGTATTTTGTCACATCTCAGAGAAAGGTATCCTGTGTCGCAACAGCTTCATGCCTTTTAGTTCATTATTTTCATGAATATATATGTATTTTATATGGAAAATTCACCTTTCTCATGTGATTAGTGCTCAAAGTTTAACTTTTCCCTTTATGTAAAATCTAAACAATTTATGGGAATTATAGATTATTAAGAGTTCGTTTAGGAATTCATTAGAATTTAGTAGGAAAGCGCCTAAATGTTTTTTTAAAGTCAGAAAAAGAACAAGGTGTATTGAAAAGCAGTAGAGAAAAAAAGCCGGACTTTATACCTTATTGTACTTCTAATGTAACAAATTATAATGTAATAACTAGCTGTTATACGAAAATCTCACTAACAATAAAAATTATCTACTTAAATCCAAGAAATAAGCCAAATCATCTTAGCCTTTACTGAAGATCTTTATACGTCAAAGAACAACAAGATCAATGATAACCCTTCAAACGAATGCAATCAGCAGTGGTCAGCAGTCAAGTAAATAATTCTTATAACCTCTTACATAATAACATATGCACCAAATACTTAATTTTCATGTAGTCGATAGGGAAGTGAAGGTACACAGGAATGTAGGATTCAAACAGTCGACGCCTAGATTACTAGCCCAGTGCTTTATTAGCTGAGCTACAAGAACTATCAATAGTATTCTGTCGATTCAGGGTTATTTCAGACAATAAAATCATCATATTCTTTTAGCCAGTTACTTGAAACTCAACCTTAAGTACTTTAAATTCGTTGTCTTGTGAAGATTCCGGGAGATTATTTTCAACCGAATTGATATTTTGAAAAATGTCTTCTCTCAGTGTTTCATCTACGTTAAAACACAGTAGGCTATACAAAATAATTAAGTAGACAAAATTTAATTTATTTCTGCTTCGATTTATCGACCTGTTATATATTAATTACTTTTCAATGCTTTTGTCTTCAATAAACTAAAAATATGTTAAAATAATTATTTTAAAAGTATTGGTTTTTTGTAGAGACTTTGTTTGATTGGTTGGAGGATTTCATCATGAGCTGATATCAGTTACAGAACCATTGGAAAACCAACATGGAGTACTGGACAGCTGTTTTCCCCCGTCCTAGTTTGCGACTCTTCATCAGAAGTTAGAGTTCATGGACTGATCGTTGGATCCGGTCCTAGTGGCTTAATGGTGTACGAGCTCTCTAGCCTTGTAACCAGAAGGTCCTGGATTCTAATCCTGGTGGGTGCGTACTGATGAAGAGCCCCAGACTAGGACGAAACAACTGGCTGTCCAGTACTTTCTGTTGGTTTTCCAATGGTTCTGTAACCAATGTCATCTGATGATGAAATCCTCTAACCAAATATTATTTTAAAAGTCTAAAGCATAGACTGAACTAATAGATTATTTATGGCTGGCAATACTGAAAACTTTGTAGACAAGATAGCTTAAATGTACACTAGGTAAATAGTACTTTCCTTCCCGACTCCTACAAAATGATGGCAAAGCGGTAGGTAATATTTTTATACAAGTGATTCGTTATATTCAGAGGACACAAATTTTAACACGCTTACTTTTGTTAAGCGAGATCTCGTTTCAGTAGAAAAAATAATGAGCATTTTAAAAGCGAATTGGGGAACAAAATCATATATAGAAAGTCAAAACAAGTAATTCAGTGAAAGGAATCTTTTCAGCTAATTTATTTATTATCACAGGTACAGGAACACTATCCTGCTTAGTTAAGAAGAGATGGAGTTGGGGTCTGAAGAAGCGCTGGTCAATATATATCACTCTATCCCTACAGCCGCTTCTTTTAAAGTCATTTACAAGGAAAGAAATAATTTGCCAAAATCCTTGCGTATCCGAATCGTATGTATTGCTGAAGCCATCTGTGGCCATTGAAATAGAAAAGCCTGATCTTTGTGTGCAGAAAACGCTTTTCCGACGCCTCCAGCCCTAATGATTCTTTTCCGTCTATGCTAGAGTGTGGTAATCTCCGCTAATACTTTGGCCCTACTTATTTTTCGTTGTGTTTATTCAGTTTGTATGCCCTTCCTTTATTACGTCGACTGTTAGTGTGATTATTCTCACCTTGAACTGTTCCTAGCATTATTTCACTTGTCCCACTTGTTGTTTTAAATCAGTTTTTGGCGAAATGTTAAATTCTATATTATCGAATTTCACGCCATGTTATGTAATGTTTTCATTCACCCATTAAGCCTATAACTTTACACCCCCTTACAACATCTATATATCCTACGAACTATTCTATCTATAATGTAATTTGTTTTGCCACTTGACATTTAACTATAATTTGTAATCACAAACATCTGGTTGCATTTCATACTACTGTTATTATTATTATTGTTATTCGTATTCATACCTCTGTTTCAGTTTCCTCAAGGGATACAATTTCTCAAAACAAAACCATGTATATATATGATTGCAGAGCGTGATGATAAATTCGTTGGAAAAAGTATCTCTATTTTATCACTTGTTTTGATTTTCTATACGTCCCAATGGGAATTTTCTACGAGCAAAATAATATTACCACAAAGAGCTTAAAATATAAATAGTGAATGGAAGATGAGAAAAGCTATGCATAAAAACCTCAGAAATATAATGATTTCCAAGCACTGTGAAAGAGCGAGAATTGTTGGGCATAGCAATTGCATACGTTATCATCACCGGCAGTGCATAACTCAAATATGGTCATTTTAGCTACACAAAATCTACAAAAAAGTAGACAGTTAAAATAACCTTGTAAAATAAAGAATAACAAACGCATCAAGAATGTCAGAGATTATCCAGAAGGTAACCTGAATGGGAAAAAGAGAGTGCAGCAAAAATAATTTAAAGAATACCATAAGTTAGACATGTAACGACAGAAGACAAAGGCCAGACAACAGATCGTTTGTTGAGAAAATCAAGAGGTATTTATAGATTTTTATGTGCATTATTGTCAGAGGAGAAGCAATGTCTTCTGATTGTTTCTTTTCCTACTGAAGGCTATTCTGTACTGCTTGTGGCCGTTTCTTAGAAAGTTAAGCCATATATATCTGCTAATCGCATTTGCACACGTTAAGTCTGCTGTGATTGGTTGGTGATCTTCTCAAGGTTAAGCTTTGTTATTGTTTTTTCTCATGACCCCTATTCGGGACGTAACATTGACGTAAATTGCTGTCTACAATTTTTGGCTTGCAGCTAGCTCTCACCACAGACATAGTAAGAAACAGAAACATCTCTAAGACTAGTATATTTTAAAATGATTACATTATCGTAAGAAATCAAACCTATTTACTTCTTACATTTCTTTTCTTGTTCACTTCACTTCTTTTGCAATGATAAAATAATAAGATGACGTGCCGTAAGAATAACATTATTGAGGGATATAAATTTACTTAGTTTTCTATCTTATATATATATATATATATATATATATATATAGAGAGAGAGAGAGAGAGAGAGAGAGTTAGACATGCACTACTTAAAAATTCCATATGGCCTTCCTGGTTTAATTTTTTAAAGTAACTGGATCTAGTTTAACAGTAGAAATATTGGAAACAACTTTTATCAGAAAATGACATCAGTGACGCAATCACTAGTCAGCTGTTTCGTCTAAATCAATACTTACTTTACTGGAATTCACTTACAACAGTATGAAGGAGGAAGTGAAAAGAAATAAATGCCACTGCTTAATCGTTAACAATGACTTCTGTTCTAGACCTCTTTTAAACGCTGAAATACTTAAATAACCTACAAAGCGGCAAAAAATCTTAAATACCAAAGCATACAAATAATAAAGTTATGAAAAGCTCAACATTGAATTTCCTCCTACCTTTAATAAGTTGTGTAAGTTGAAATACAAACGAATTTATTATTTGTATAAAACTATACACTACTGATTGATTGAGATGAGTAGCTGTTTACTACTCACATCAACCAGTAGTGCTTAACAGCTAGGTAGATCGGGGTGATCTAAACACCGGATGGCCATTTCTCCCATTTGGAGCCCAACTTATCAGTAGTGTGCTTGGTTTTGACTCAGTGCAGAAAGTCGAATCAGTATAAACCACTCGATTTCTGGTTAGCTACATGGGTGAACTGGTGACAGCATGAATCAAATTCACAATCTGCAAATTGATCAGCAATTTGTAATATTCACAGTTCAACAGGTAAGACTGACACCGTAGTTTTATTTGGAAACCAAAATTATTCAGATCACAGTATATGATCTGCTTGACACCTTAAAATGGTATTCAAGAGAGTAAACCATTTTATTAATAAAAGGGGACTATGGTGAAAATCTTACCCCTTGAACTGTGTACATTACAAATAGCTAATAAATTTAAAATTCTGCCAATTCATGACATAGCGCGACCATTTCGCAATGTCTTCTTCGATGAATTACTGCCTCGTCTTCAACCTGCAGATATATCAACAGGTACAGCAGGTTGAAGGTGAAGCAGTAACTCATCGAAGAAGACATTGCGAAGTGGTCGCGCTATGCCATGAATTGGCAGAAGTTGGAATTCACGGGCCATTGGATTGGGTCCCAGTGGCTTAATGGTCTACGAGCTCGCCATGTAGCCAGAAGGTCCTGGGTTTGAATCCCAGTGGGTGCGTACTGTGAAGAGTCCAAAAGTAGGATGAGACAGCTGTACAGTACTCCCAGGTTTTCCAGTGATTCTCTAATTGATGTCAGCTCATGATGAAATTCTCCAGCCAATCAAACAGAATCCCTACAAAACCAATACTTGAAAATTAATTTAAAGACTGTGAATTTGATCAAATTTATTATGACACTAAACGACATGTATTTTTCATAATCCACATAAATATATATTAATTCCTTTACGTTCCCAGTGGAACATAGGGCTTCAAGCCAGAGGCTTGGAGTTTCGGTAGCAGTGGCATTTGATTTTATAGGACGGGGTTGCTAGCCTCATGCCAGACCTTCCCTCTTTACCAGTCTTATTACTGGCTTAGCGAGGTAAAGGAGTGTCTCGTCAGCCGGAGGTCAAACCCCTAACCACCTACATGGTTGGCAAGCACTACGCCACTGCGCCACCAATGCATACAATCTATATTATCCACTTTTAATTAAATAACTTCAAATTAATTTAACTTTTATTAAATATACAACTCATTAGCTAAATCAGAAATTTCTATTTAATAACAATGCTTTATGATGTCATTAAAAAGAACTTTCACGCTCTCATAAAATTCATGTCCAATATGGATTACTTGAAAAATAAATAAATAAAAAAACAGAAACTTTTTTTTATTACCAGATAATAATCCTGCGATAACCTGATGAGGAAAATGTGCAGCCAGATAACATCGACTAAGACCAACTAAACCAAATCCCAAAGAAGATAACCACAGTAAATATCGTCTTTCATTTTGACTATAATAAAAATAATAAATAAATAGGTCAGAATTTAGGTTTAATGCATGGTATAACAAAAAGTCTATTAGTGATAATAGCACAAATTTTTTTATTCCTCCACGTTCCCAGTGGCTGGATTCAAGCTAGAGGCTTGAAGTTTCGGTAGCAGTGGTGGTTAATTTTACGGGATGTGGTTGCTAGCCTCATGCCCAGCCTTCCGTTTTTACCAGTCTTATTACTGGCTTAGCGAGGTAAAGGAGTGCCTTGTCGGCCGGGGATCGAACCGCGGACCACATGGGTGGTTGACGAGCATTCTTCCGCTGTGCCAACGACGCTCAATAGCACAAATAGTAATAGGAATCATTATAAAAGCGAAACATTTAAAGATATTCCTACCAACTCATAAATGAATCCTACGAATTTCGAAACTACCTGCCTCTTCCATTTAAGTGACTTTATAACAAATTAAACAAGAAATTCAAAGTTCCATTTCAGAACAACCTGATGATAATTTTTTTCTCATGTCACATTTATACCACCACACTGCTTCAGAGTTCTTTCAAGAATTATTCAAACGGTAAGGTTAAAAAGGATGGAAGAACTGAGCGACACTGGCTTAGAACAGTGATGATAGGGAGTTGTGTACATTTCCTCACTCCATTTTTTTTCCACAAAAGACTTTCAAGAAGCACATTATTATTCCAGGGACACGCTTCGCTAACAAATAAATCCAAGACAAATTTTGTTCAATAAACCTAACAAAGCCATGATATCTAGAAATATACGTGTTAATATTTCGGAGAAAATGATGGAGATTTGACAAGTAGTCAAAGTGTCAATTTGAGTGATACTAAGCTTGTTGTTTGTGAATCAGTTTCTCGGGCGTTTTGCAAAGCCCAAAAAGTATGATATCAGACAAAACTTTCAATAAGCCTGATAAAAGACTAATTAATAATTTGATAGGTGTCACATCAAACACCAGGGTCAATCATGAAGATACCCAGAAAGAAATCATAGGAGACATTCAGTCTATCAAACTTCCTTACGCAGTCCTTTCATTTTCCTTCCCAAAGTCCAAATTCTCCAAAAAAAAAGCCTACTGGAGTTAATTATTTGAACTGAGTGCATTATAACTTGTTAACCTCTGATGTTATTACTTGCTTCGGGTATTGTGACAAGGTATATTTCCATAGTTGATTAACTTATTTCATAATCTTTATTTCCAGTTTCGTTTAAAACACTGAGAATTTTTAACCCCTAACCAAAACAGTCGTAAACTTATTTAATTCAATCGACGGCGAAATCTAAAATTGAATTAAATAGTTAACATGACCCGTTGTACAAGAGGTGGCTCTCGTGGGCCAAGTGGTCTAGTGGATAATGCTTCGGCGTTTGAAACTATGGGCACTGGGTTCGAGCCTCAGTGGGAACATCATCACTCACTGAGGAATGCAGGCACATTCAGTCGGCGGATGAGTCCTGAAAAAGACGAAATGCGCATCCTGGATTCCATTGCTAGTCACCATTCACCAATTAACTTCTAAAGTAGTAGACTTAAGTAGCAGTTTCTTTATGTACATCCGGTTCATCTACCTTTACATCAATTTCCATTTTCTTTATAATAAATATTTATACGTATAATTATCTCTTTCTAATTTCAACACGTCACTTTAATTTGTCTATCTCTCAATAATGACTATCTTGATGTATTAACTAAGACATATTTAAGGTACATATAAAATTTGATGAAAATATAATGCATACGGTAACTTGGTAATTCATATTCCCTGACATTTTTAAATTAGGATGGCTCATTAAGCATAAGAACAGAATCTGCAGTAAACACTGTCTATCCCGACTGAACATATACTAGCTTCGCTGACAAAATGACGCATTTTATAAAAGGACAAGAGACAGTAATTGCTGACTCTGAAATATACATCCATCACTAGGGATCTATTAAATTAAATTAATGAAAAGTTTAAGTAGAGTGCTGAAATATTTTAAAATTAAATCCATAATTCAAAAAATTACACTACTTCTGTGGGTTAGAGATGTTCACTACTTTCATTTATGCTTACATTATTATTATTATTATTCCCTTGGGTTCCAAGTGGAACATAAGACTTCAGCAACACATCTCCACTTAGTTCTATTTTCCGCCCTCCTCTTCAGCCGGCTAGCTCCACGATTGACCATAATCTCTCATCTCCTCATCCAACACACACGACCCACCAGTCGTTTCCCATTCGGATTCCACTCGACCGATGGCCAGCATTGCGCGCGATGTCATTCGATGGTCTCCGATCCATCTCCATTTTCTCACACATATTTATTGAGCCACCCGCTGTCACCTGTTGGTTTGTTCCATTGCAGAGTTTCGTGTTAGTGATTCTTTCTAGCCAGCCATTTGATCTTCAGCGTGGAGCCAGTCAGTGAAGGTGGCAGCTGTTGACAAAATTCTGCAGTGGTCTAATGGAAATACTTTTCCTGACGTGAAGTGCAAGTTTCTGACCCATATAGAAGAAGTGACTGACTTAACATTTGTGTTGAAAATCCGAATTTTCTTGTTGTTTAATGCTGGTTGAGTGCTAAAGATTTCCAAACTGCTTTCAGGTTGATGAAGGTGTATCTTGCCTTTCTGATTCTGACTTCGACATTTTCATCCGTTCCGCCTGCCTGTGGTTGAAACGATGCTTCCAAGATAAGTGAAGGAGGAAACTTTTGTTAAATCTCTCCCGTTGATGGTGATTGGTAGTGGTTGATGTTGTTATTGCTGCTGTTGGTTGGTTATCTTCATTAAGTTATACTTGCATTATATTCATTTTATTTCTTCAAATAGTGTATCCTCAGGATATTTAAATTAATAATAAGCACGTACGATTCTATGAAACTTAGATGGACTTAAAGCTATGAGGTATGTCATCTTCTAGAATATTACCACAGTTGTTTCTTTTGAGTTGACTAGTTAATGAGAAGTTGATTTTGTATTGCTAAGTAGAAATGAATATTTAAAATATTATACATTTGAAACAAGTAACAGAATGCATACTTTTTGAGTTTATAGTAAAAATAAGCTATAATTGGTATTACACTGGCCACTGTTATCATACAATGACCAGAAGGACTCCCAGGTCCAGTTTCACATGTTAACGGATACTGCTTGAGAGATAAAGTAGGATCTTGTGACAAGCCATTCAACGTTACCCACCAGTAGGGTCGATGACCATATAGTATCCTGTATATTAGCAAATTAGATTAAATACAAAGAATTAGTAAGATATATATATATATATACTGAAGCAAAAAGGATAACGGTACTTCCCGTGTAGAGTTTTAGTGGGCAACTTTTAGGAAACACAGTTAATTATTTTCAGCTGCTATTAGTCTGGAAAATCTATCTGCGTTTCCTTGGTTACAGACTTCTAAAGACAGCTGAGGCCTTGGCAATTCATGACTTTAAGCCAGACCTTTGTGTACAAAAGAAGTATGTACAATCCCTACTTGTGCCTTGGCCGTAGAGGGATAGACATTTATTTATTTATTTATTTTGTTTATTTAGCTATTCTATGTACCTTTCCCCTATTATTATTATTCTCACTCTGAATTGTTTCCATTTGTCAGTCTAAACCCAAAATTATTAATTTTTATATTTTTATTTTTACAATATTGAATCCTATCTCATCAAATTTCACACCATGTTATGTCACATTTTATATTCGCCTACTAATCCTATAATTATGCACCCCTTCCCAACATCTATGCACTTTGTCTTATTTTATATATGGCATTAGTTGTTTTGCTATTTGACATTTAACTATGATTATAATCACAAATATTTTAATTGTATTTCATACTATTATTATTTCATGTATTCACACTTTTGATCTAATTCCCTCACCGGATATAATTTCTAAAAAAAAAACCATATATATACGACTGTACAGCTTGATAATAAATTCGTTGAAAAGAGTCTCTTCGCTTAATATTGTGTTCTTAATGGTACAATAAGAATTATTAAATTATCTGTGATTAGCCGGATTAAGAAAATTTTTGACAACGGCAGTTTTGTCAGTTACACAAAAGCATGCTATATGTAAGATATATTTTTAGATGAATAATTTAATTAATTTGTAACACTCCGTTGTACGTTAGCTGAGCTTTACTGTTTCACTAACTTCGAAGTACTGCCAATGATTCCCAAACTGGGATGAAACAGCTGTCCAGTACTCCCTGCTGGTGTTCAATGGTTCGCTAACTGATATCAATCCGTGATCAACTCGTAAAAACATAACAAACCCTTACAAACCAAACTATAGAAAATTAATCTGACGCTCACCAGTGACTTGCTACAGGATGGAGTTTCCTGGAGTTCTAGTGAGAAGTCGTGACCAGTGAGGTCACGTGTGTGGATGGATGTCCCACCAACGACAATAGTTGGGGTCGCGCTAAAATCACGAATTGGTATAAGTTAGAATTCATGAGCCATTGAATCGGGTCCCAGTGGCTGAATGGTATACGAGCTCGCCTTGTAACCAGAAGGTCCTGGGTTCGAACCGTGGCGGTGGGTGAGTAGTGCTGAAGAGTCCCAAACTAGGACGAAACAGCTGTCCGGTACTCCCAGGTTTTCCAGTGGTTCTCTAACTAATGTCAGTTCACGATGAAATCCTGTAACCAACTGACATTTATTTTCAATTTTTTTATTGCATTTCCGATATCTATAGTTGAGATCCAGTTGACGAAATCAATGTTCACTTTTGACAAATACATAACTCCACAATAAAATTAAAAAATATTCGAGGAGATAAACTTGGTGGCTTTCCTCTAGAATTTTTGTTACGACATTGTATTTTCATTCATTCAAATGAGGAAATCAGATATCAACAAAAATACTATATGAGTTTTAAAAAAAACAGGCCAAAAATCCTAATCTTCCTCATGAGAGCAATAATATGCTGTCACATTTATCAGTTAGATGAGGATGCTGATTCTTGAAAGCCTCATAGATGCATTAAGGGTAAATTTTTAAACGAAAACTAATTAGTTCATTTTATTTAACTTGTAGAGTTACATATTTAATAAATATTTTAACGTTTTATAATTTCTGATAGGAAAAAGACCAGTAAATAAAAGTGAAATTACTACATTAACGAAAAAACTTGTAAAACTAGAGTCATTAAAATTTATTAATGGATTCCAAAGGATTCCAAACTAGATGCTCACAAAGACTTTGTTTGTACACATGCCTTTTATTTTGCGTAACCTTCAATCGATATTTTAATATTACTACAATGTTGTAATGCATGATGGCCTGAAACTGTATACTTTATGTGTCTTTTAAAATAAGGCATTACAAGTCTGAATGCAAAATACCAGCATGAATTAATGTCATTTCTTAATAGTCTAATAAAAGGTTTTGATGAGGCGTGAATACCTACAACAGTTTTTTAACGTAAAAAAAAGAAAACTTTCAGTTGCAAATGTGAATAAACTAGATAAAGTTTAATTTTAGTTTTTTTTCTTCTCACTCTAAAGATTGTGTATTATAACAGTAAGTAAGACAGGTAAAAATTTATAAAAATGAACTTAAACTTGATCAAAATTTACTGACCACTTGAGCACTCCATTCAGATAGTCCGATGAAATGGTGCATAAAGCTGTTGTAATACCCAGTGTTGGATTAATGTAATAGGCGATTGGGAAGGTTAATGTATAAGCAGTATTAGGACTACCAATATGACTGAAACCTGTGAACATGGGCTCCAAACACTGAAATCATAAAAGAGAGAATCTTAAATCACATAGGCTTCTTAGCTCTCTAAATGTAACAAATTAAAATCAGTACAAGATCAAAAAGACTGGAAAATTAATTTCAAATGATTTAATTCAGGTAAATCTGACACAGATATGTTAGACTGAGCCATATCATTCCCTAAACAAGCTAAAGTCATTGTGGATCTTACAAAATGCTAGCAATGAACTACTTAAACCGCATGTTACAACAGTAAAATATTTTTTTCATGATTTAAATAATAAAAACCTGGGGTATAGCATCATAAACACCGAAAATAATAGATCACTAAAAAACAAACTACTCATTTAGGTAAAATTTACCAAACAGAAAACTACAAATAACACTACAGTCACTATGATAACAAGAATTAAGAAGCCAAGAGTATATCGCTTGCCCACGTTTACATAAATTTCTAGTGTACTATTTTCATACATGCTACCCAAGAGATAAACAAATACAATACGTGATTGTGAGACTATATGTAGTAACTTTGAATTAGGAGGCTAGTATTGACACAAGGGATGGTCGCTGGAGATGAAATGAAAGTGTGAGTCATGGCACGACTCAAGGTGTCACTAGTGCAGTGTCCGTTCAGCCAAACTGTAAGATCCAAATGTGAAGGAAGAAGCTTAAAAATCTAATATTGATGTATGCCTTCAGTAAAGAAGTACAGAGAACTTGTCCTTTATCTGAACTCAGAAATTTTTAGTGACGTTCTCTTGTGTGTGGACCAATATACTGTCTAGAAGTCTAAGTGCCAAATAATCAGAGGTCTATGTTAAACTTGTAAAACAAATGGCAGGCTTCGAAAGTGGCCTTGAATATAGCTATATTTCAGCCACTGGCTAGATGCTCAAATACACGCATACTTGTGAAAAACTAGAATTCGCAACATTATATTGTCTGGCAAGCATTACAGTATTACTGTCATTCGGTGGATAAAAATTAATAAAAGATATGTATCCTGGTCAACAATCAACAGAGCTAAAGCTTTTAAGTCTAAATTTATTGAGGCAAAACAAATTTTCGTAGTTTCAAGTCCATTTAAACACCTCAAAACAAGTTCTTATGATTTAAACTAAAAAATAAGGAAGACAGAGTTTGTTATCTGCACCACTAAATGTTATTACTGGGTTTTTCTGAGAACAATTAAAAGTACTCTCCTTCTTTCCACATACATTTATTGACCCTGAGTTGGAGCAAACGGGCTGAAGTAGCAATTGAGCATTACATCAGATCGGGAAGAATTAAAAAAATTCTTTAAAATTATTCCTTTCTACATGCCCGGTTTCGTCTTTTGAATGAAAATAAACTAATAATTATTATTAAAACAATCCTTAAAAATATCAGTACTTACATCGAAGCTCTGCATCCATTGGATGAATCGGATTCCAAGTGTATGAACGGTATCCATTTTCAACGTAACACACTACGGAGTATTCTTGCGAGATTGCAACCTAGTTGAGAGAAACGGATGAGATACAACAGTTGCCCAACAGTGTGAGGATTTTACAGTAATATAGTGAAAATTAGAAGAGTAGAACTGCTAATACATCACTACAGATAACAGCTGTACTTCACACTACAATGTACACTTGGAAATAATAGGAAAGATTTGTAGTTCTGGTGAGTCATTCTGATGTAGTTGTGTTCTCTGAGCTGGGAGACCTAATCGAGAAGCTTTGCGATTCATTCGTCAAACCACACGTGTACTTGCCATGAGAAATTATGATATTACAATTGTAAATCGCCGATTTCCAAGTCAATTTTAAGTAGAAAAGAAGGGCATAATAATAAAAAAGTCGGATATTCATCTAAAATTTTCTAAGATGGATAAAAATTAGTACCATATAGTACTGACACATAAAACCCTTAGCTGTGGATCTAAACCACGTAGGGATTTATATACTCTATAGTCAGCGTCCACGAGATGTGAACAATCAATGGCTGAATGTTAATAATAGTAGCAGTAATAATAATAGCTTTATTCTTAGGACTGAAATTTAAAAACAGTGCGGAATATTGCTCAAGATTCTTCTCAATAGCAGTATGTGGTACAGTTTTCTGCCGATTGCCCAAAGTATCTACAATGCGCCTAAACTTAACGCTAACTGGGATAGATGCATTCTCCCTTTGCGATTTTTTTTATGTACGAAACTTTTATTATTTTAAAAGTGACTGTTATTCCTGCCAGATACGACCACTTATATGGACATATTTATGACAGCCGCCCTGGGTTTCTTAAGAAAAATATTTGTCTCACCCCTTGAGCAACTTATAATGTAAGGAAACTCGGACTGATACAAATTTGTTCAAAGTTGTGCTGTCAATGGAAGTCAGTTTGTTCAAAGATACTCACAAATTTCATAAGTAAGTCACTTCATAAGTTTTGGTAAATCGTATACGGAATTATTAATCGTAGGTTTCCTCTAGATAACTAGAGCCGCATATTCAATTCATTGAGTTGAATACACAGCCAAAACCAACAAGGACCATTGGATAGGGACCCAGTGGATAAATGGTCTACGAGCTCGCCTTATAACCAGAAGGTCCTCGGTTCGAATCCCGGTGGGGGCGTACCGACAAAGAGTCTCAAACTAGGACGAAACAGCTGTCCAGTGCTCCCACGTTTTCCCGTGGCTCTCTAACTGATGTAAGCTCATGATGAAATTCTCCATGCAATCAAACAAAATCCCTACAAAACCCATATTGAAATACTTAAGTGTTTCCATGCGCACAACTAAGTTACAGCGTCTGCAAACACATTTAAACCGCAATTCACTTTACCAAATGCAAGAGAAGACAGCCCACTCACTAAAGTCAAACGACAACTTGGCGACAATCGATGACAAAACTCATAGACCGCGCGGGCTTAGAAGTTGCCACCTTGGCTATCGCAGTATCCAATATCCAATATCGTTTTTACGAGCTAGTACAAACCAATTTGATTTCTTTGTGCTCACCTCTTGATTGTGAGGTAAAGGTTCCTGATCGGTAAACTTCTGCGTAGCTCGTCCCGCCACTCGACTGTCGTAGCTTTGGTTGACTCCAAAAGGAGTAGTGCAGGAATTAATTATATGTGGTTAGTAGTATGAGGTGTGTTAAGACTGTTACTAATATGAATGGAGTTGATCCTTTCACCAGTTAGTCCTCCGGTATCGTCGTCAAAAGAAAAGAGATAATAATAATACAATATTTAGTTGAAATTCAGTAACCAATATCAATTTTTCTAGCTGATGTAAACTAAAGAGATTTATTTCCACTCACTTCTTGGTTGCAAGATACAGACTTATGACGTTCGGTAAAACTTTTGTATACTGCCGTAGCTTTGTTTTCTCAAAAAAGAGAGATGCAGGGATAGGATATGTGTGGTTTGCAGTATGCGACGTGTTAAAATCGTGTTGCTGCTGTGAGTGGGGCTGATCTAAATTTCAATGCTGAATATCCTCTCTATGTGCAAGTAGACTTCGACCTAATTTTTACTGCAGCCGCATTACAACGCTGAAATTTTCCAGATACTCGGATAAACCGATTTATGCGCGGTTGAGGTTGTCACTAAAGAATTCTACGCATCGGGGTTAGCGGTATGATATCATCACTAGTCGGGTCTTCAAGGTTGCATTTAGATACCCCATTCGAACTACCCCCTCGTTCACCTTGCCTAATGCTCAAAGCGCAGAAAATGTGGTCGGAATGTCTGAGTCTGCAAATTCAGTTTTGACACCAAACTGTGAACTGTCGGAATTATCTACACAGAGCTCATCGTTTTGGTAATATGTGTTAGTTCACCAATATAAGAATGTGCCTCCACTGTCCAGAAAATACAAAGTGTTAATGCAGGCTTAAAGCCTAATATGCTGAACAATCTTTCAATCGTAAATTGGGATTACGCGTAGCTGAAGTCAGTCCCTGAGTCGGTCGAAGAGAACGAATAGGAGTGGCAATGCTAATGGTTGCTGCGGGGGTAGAAATCATTTAAGAAACGAATGGAGAAGGCGAAAAGCCTTCAGTTAGATGAAAAAGATGACCAACTGAGTAAAATAGTGAGACAAAAGAAAATATCATAAATAAATAAATAAATAATAGTATATTCTCATTTTGTACATGAGGGACGCCAGTTTACAGGCATCATCAATATGATAAATTACATATACGATTAGTAAGCATATTTAATAATAGTAATTTAATAAAATACATTTTTTCCTACCTGTGTAGGACACACCAATTGTACAGGCATGGATAAGTATTATTTAAATTACATAAATTTGGTTCATGGTAAAATTATAAGGTTGCAGTCATTTTGTCTATGGGAACAATATGATAACTAGTCATTCAATGGAGCACATCAAGAAATATAGAAATATTGTCTTCGCATTAACAAAAAAAACCCAAGTATGTTTTGGATGGATTACAAATACTTGGGAAAAAAATAAAGCTTGAAGTAATTCCTCTATATAATTTTGGTGTGTACGGCATCGAGTCTTATTCTTGATTTATATCCAAATTTGATAATAATTTAAAATAAGTAATCCACTTGTATACTTTTGTCAGCATTTTCTTCGTAACATCACAAGTGAATAGTACTCAAGGTAGACTAATAATAATGGTAGTTTATATTTTCTTATAAACGGGTGTTTTCAAGAAATGCAAGCTATTTTGCAGACAAGATCAGTTATGTTATAAGTTACATTCGTGAAGTATTATAAATCAATACTTTTTTATTGGTATAAAGATATATTTCACAACTGTAATACAGGTTGCGTCGTTGGTGAAGGCAATGCGCAATTCACGAGGGAATTGTAAGTTATGGGACCAATAATGTTTGCAGATCATTTGTAAATGGGCAAATATCTACATTCTTCGTTCTCGTTCGAAAAGTTAAATGGAAGCTGAAATGGTGAGAGACAAAAGAAGACAAACAACAACAACGCAAAAGAAAACAAGTGGAGTACTTAGGGAGTGATTAATATGTATATATACATTTATATTCTGTGTAGTAATTATAGTTATTTTGGTGCACTAACTAACTATTCCCGTAATGCTAACTTTTATATTGTGTGAACTAATATTATTGTCCTGTGTAAAAATGTCTATCATGTACTTCCAATAATATAAAAATTTATAATTGTAGTTTGTTGTAACTACACGTTTAATGAACTTAAAATATCTATGTTGGACGAAAAAGTGGGTGTAGGATTCAGACGCAGAAGTGCACTGTCATCTTTGAGCAGTCTGGTGACTGAGGAAATGAACACTGCGAGTGTGTTTGCATCGCGCACATCAGCTGGTAGTCTATTCCAAATGACTGAAAACTTATTTAAGAAGAAATTATACCGCATGTAAGTCTGACAATGCTCTATAGCAACTAGGTTGTGATGATTTCTAAGATTGTAACTGATGACAGCGGTAGGTTTAATTATTGGCTCGGAGGAGTGCACGAGCGGATTAGTTAGCTTGTAGTAAAAAATCAGGTTCAGCTTAAGACGTCTTTTCCAGAGTGGTTCTAAACTTAGTCTGTCGCAACGTTCATAGTATTGGAGACCACTTTCTAAACCAAGAATTCTTAAGGTGAATTGCCGTTGCACTCCTTCTAACTTAAGCTTGTCATTTTGTCTGAGTCCGCTAAGAATAAACGGGCAGTATTCTAAAATAGGTCGGACACATACTTTATATAATAAAACCCTAGTTTCACAACAAAAGAAATTGCGAGTTATGCATCCTAGGAGCCTTCGTGTTTTACGTCTGGCATAATCAGTTTGTTCAGAGAACGTTAAGTTACTAGAGTATCTGATACCGAGATCTAAGACTGAGTTGAGCTTGGCTAGTTTACGCCCATTTACTTCAAGATTCAGGTCAAGGTTACTGTTTCCGATACAAATCCAGCCGCATTTATCAATGTTGAACTTTAGACAGGATTCAGTACACCATGTTGCGAGACTACTTAGTTCAAGATGTATTTTATTCACCATATCGCTTAGTTCATGAGCGTGGCAGGAGTAAACGACTTTGAGGTCGTCAGCATATAGGAATGATCTACCTAAGGTGAAGCAGTTGCAAATGCTGTTAATGTATACTGTAAATAAAAGTGGACCTAGGACACTACCTTGCACAACCCCACTTGTGATCTGTCTAGGATGAGACAACACAGATCCAACCTCGGTTATTTGTACCCTATTGCTTAGAAAGGATTTTAACCAGCTCAGTAATGGATTGCGAATCCCACATGAATACAGCTTCTCAAAGAGAATACTGTGAGATACCATGTCAAATGCCCTAGATATGTCGAAGTAGAGAACAACAACTAGCTTACGTGCTTCGCGACTACTAGTGATGCAGTTGAAAAAGTCGAAGTGGCAAGTAACGCAAGACCTATTTTTGAGAAATCCGTGTTGAGACCTTGTAACAAGATCTTCCTTAAGTAGATAGTCTGACAACTGATCTTTGACAACTTTCTCCATGACTCGCGAGACAACTGGGGTTATATTTATAGGTCTGTAATTGCGGACGTTTGCCTTATCACCGGATTTATAATGTGGAATTATGAAGCTAGTTTTCCACTCATTAGGGTAAGTGCCAGTGTCCATAGATATCGAGAAGAATTTAAGAAGTAGTAGGGGTATATCACACCCACTGTTTTTGAAAATTATAGAAGCAAGGCCATCTGGTCCCGTGCTAGTGGAAGGTTTCAGGCTTTTAACTGCTTGTTCTATTAATTGGTCGGTGAACACTATGCTTCCGAGGAAAGAGCTAGTAAGGGGGCCGGTGTCACCAGGAATGCGCGTTTCTAATGGCAATACGACCGATAACTGAGTCACGTTAAATCGGAGGCCAGTGTGATTACCACAGTTTATAGGGACAGGATTTCAGCAAAGTCGGGTTGACATAAACTTTGACGTGGTCCATGTGTTGCTGCAAGTTTATCTGGTTGCTTTTTAGATCTTTAACTGATGACAACGTCCGCTGACGATGAGTTGCAGGGACTTTATACTCGGAAATAAGGGGCAGAAATGGTAACGGAATCTTCAGTCCACTTATGACAAGTGTCTTTTGGGGCACTTACGAGCCCACTGTTACTTGACAGAAAGACAACCTCTTTGGATGACCCTTGTAAAAGTTGACAACATCATGCCTTTCAGGTGGCAAATAAAAGTGAATGGAACTAGTTTCCGAAGCCTCCTGCCTTAAGTTTCGTATCATAAGTACATTTATTCTTCGCATCTAATTCTAACTCCTTTTCCTGGAAGTTGGCCTCTTCTGCAGCAGCGAATCAGTGTTGTCACTGGACGTTTGGCGAAACTCCAGTTTGGGTTTCCACAGATATAATACTGGTGTCTGCGTGTGATACGTAGCAGTTCCGACTTATTATTCTACACTATATCATGGCCTTTCGTTACAACTAGGTCTGTTCCATGCTTTGATGCTACACTGAACAGCGAAACTATGGTGAGCGAAAGAGTCACCTCAGTTTTGCAAGGAGAGGGCGGATCTGTCAACTCTTGCCGAATCTTTCAATATTCTCCATTTTCTCATCAGGTTTCTGAATCCCCCATTACTCTTTTAGTCCCCATGAAGTCTTCACATATACCGACTTAGTGAATCAGACAATTCGATACTTGAAACAATAGTTACCCAGCAGCAAGCAAGTCTATCTAAATGATAAAAATTGTTTGAATTCAATCTAAGAAAATGGAGAGATACATGTGCCTATTATATTATCAGGTAATCACTCACAACCTCGTCTAGTTACCTAGCTTGCCAGCCTTCTAGCCGGTCCCAAGCCTGGGTAAAGAGGGAGGGTCCGGCATGGGGCTAGCGATCCTACACCATAAAAGGCTATCAAACTGCTACAGAAATTTCAACGC